ACCGCTAGAACATGGAAATATACATTGCGCACATGCGTGCAGCACACCAGACGTGTGCAGCGCACCCAGATGCGCGGCGAGCGCCGGTGCGCGCGCACCCTGGGTCCGCGCACAGCGCAATGCGCAGAGCACCGCGCAACGCACAGTGCCGGTGCGCCGCAAGTATGGGTTTATTGTTGGATGAAATCCGTTTTGACAATACTAATCTGTTCCCTAACTCTATCTAGAGTCTAAATTGTTAAATCTTCTGATAATGGGTTAAATAGGAAATTCGAGCTGACGAATATGATTTGGTAGTTGACCAAGTGGAAATTGATTTGTCCAAATCGGTTTGCATTTATTCAAAACTACCTGGTCAAAGGAGTATTATACTATATATGTTATATATCGTATTCAAATCTATTAAGAAGTAATTTGGCTTATGACCCTCAAAGGTGCGTTTGTTCGTGTCGTGCCTCTGGGATCCACTGACTTTCCTCCCCTGACCTGGGGCCTAGAATCTTTTCGCCAGGCCCTGTCAGAAGTGGGGGCAACTTTCCTCTACACCCTCTTGGACAGGTGGTCCCATTGGGTCAATCCCTTGGAAAATGCCCTCATCTTAGGTGGACATATTTTTATCATACCCGCCCAGCATTGAGGCTGCTGGAATTCAAATTTTGACGCCGCCCTGCTGGAGCCCCCTACTTGCACTTGCATGGTGCAACATGCTCGTCTTGCTCCTCGTCCTCATCCTTCTCCCTTGCTCCTGTTTAACCTTCTTCCCGCATAAGGGGCCTTTTTTTTTTGGAACGAATCTGGCCATTATTCTGCGCTGCATTCAGTGCAGAATCATGGCCAGACTCGTTCCAAACCCTTCTCTCTCACACTCTCAGACACACCCAAACAGTTCAACCTCCTGATGAGTCGGTGAAAGTCCGACGAAACAGTCTGGTACAGTCATGCTTTTTTTTAGTGTATAGCGAAGATGACAACACACATCGACGGGCCTAAGACCCGGGACCATGGTGTTACCTTTTCACTACATTCTCCTTTCCGTTGATCATGTCTTCCGGGCCTTGCTTTTTTTCCTGCAAGTGTATCTTCAACATTTTGAAAATTTGAACGCAGACTTCCGTGCCGGTGGCATGGCATGAACATCTCCTCCTTACGATTCCCTCTATGGTAACCCCCCTCCCTCTTCTTGTCATCAGCATTACGCGTTGTTGACTGGGTTGCACATCATGACTGGAACAAAAGTCTCTATGAGGTAGGGCACTGGTTTAAGAAGCGACTTCGCGCTGTGTGGCAGCTGCAGCCCATGTGGAGCAACTTGAGCTGCAATTACGGGGCATTCATCAGAGCCCCATTTAACCAGGTTTGGATGCTCTCTCAGCCCCTGGGGTTCTTTACATTATTATTCCCCATACCTTCTGGTCGCATATATATGCTGGGGCAAACTACATACTCTGCTCACTACCGTCTACGACAGCATTGGCATCCGCGTCGCTCATCCCAAACTACTCACTCACGACGCCGTTATCTCTATCACTCCATGGCTAGACACACACCCTTTCACTTTACTGTTTGGCCCACTGGAATGTATAGATCCTCGGGGCCTCGTTTCTGTTGGAATGTTGATGGCTCCATCGATCATGGGTTGTTTAAGGATGCAGCTACCCCTTGTGAAGGGTTTTGGGTTGAATGCCTTACCACCCTATGCCCTCGGGCCTTCAACAACCTCCTCCCACAAGGACAATTACCTCCAATCAGACGATCTCATCGCTCGAACAAGTGGATTGGTTCGCGAGGTTGTCCACGTCCTCCCTCCAAGACTCGACCGACAACAAAAAAGTGTGGACCCTTCATGATTGACACTACCGCAGGTCCATTCTATGTTGTGCGCTCGGCACTGCATTGCATGCTTACACAAGCAACCAATTTAGAATGAGAATCCATATCTCTTACCCTGCCCCATTTCATGCCAGCCTGTTGCTCTTGCTTGCTGCAATGAGTGAAGACAAATGTCTCCTTCCGGCTGGTTGGGATCTACCTTTCTGTCCCCCTCCTTCTTTGGGCCTCCGTCGCCGTCATCTCCACCATCTCCATCTCCACCACCACTTCCACACTTCATCGTGGCAAGGGTGTCTACCAATTTCGAGGTGAATATTCCTTCCAGTTGCTGTGCATATCCCCCAACGCGCTCATCTATCCGGTGGGTGGCGGCGCTTAGGTAGTTGTTCCAAGTGCCTTTGAACTCATGATTATGCCGTTCAAGTCGGGCGACAGACTTGTTTATAGTGGCGAGTTCCTGGCTTGTATGTAACAGGGCGTTGACCAGAAGGGTATGGTCATCTTTCCACTCACCCTCATGGCCCTTTTGTTCCCTGAGTTGGCGTTCAATCTCCTCTCCTTCAGCTTTTAATCTCCTCTTCTCATCCAGCTCCGCCCTTTTCCTTATCAGGAGCCGCTGATGCAATTCATGTTCTCTCTCCTGCATCAGCAGCTCTCCCTCAGCGCCGTCCTCTGCCGCCTCCAATTTTGTTGTGAGTTCTGCCCTCTCGGCCTCTGACTTTTCTACCCACTCATCCTTCCTGAACTCAAATTTCTCCATCCCATTTGGGTGTCAACTGGGTAGAAGTGCCGTTGACTTGACTCCCCTTTTTCGGTCTTCATTCCACCTTCAACCATGTTCCTGAGGTCATCCAGCCTCGCCTCTTCTTCTCCTTTTTCGTCCTCTTCTTCTTCCTCTTCTACTACTTCAACCTGCTGTTTCGGTTTTGCTTCACACATGTGATTAGGCGAATGATTACATCTGTTATGTCCTTGTCGCAGGGTATGGACAGACAGCAAAGGATGTCATTGGGACAGCATTGTTCCATGAGGAAGTGGCAGTGTTGGCAGAAGGGGATGGTTGTCGCGGGTGTGCAGGAGTTGTAGTTGTGGGGGACATCTACCTATCCTCTATTTGTATTGGCTGTCTTTCACCACTCAGAATCAGATGCCATTTTGGTTACGTGCCTTCTAAGCACCGAATAGCGGGTCTCAGCAAGCTGCCACGGATAGGTGAAATGTGTGCAAGGCGCTTGCAGAGCCCATGGCGAATGGCCGCGGAGTCTTTTCAGACTCATAATCTGTTTACTCAATTGTACTGACAGTTTCTTGTTGGCACCCTTGAGCCAAATGGCACAAGTCGATGTGAGCCAAGCTGTTTGAATCTGAGCTATCTTTTTCGGCTTTTCTGGTGCCGCTGGAAGAGTGTGAGCTGAACTGTTTGGACTCTTTATCTTTTGGTTCTGTGCAACACTTGCTGGTTTGCATCAGGTGATTAGGTGAATGATGACATCTGCAATGTCGTTGTCTTGGTTTTGTCAAATGAGTGCTGCTTCGCACATGTGATTAGGCGAATGATTACATCTGTCATGTCGTTGTTGCAGGGTATGGACAGACAGCAAAGGATGTCATTGGGACAGCATTGTTCCGTGAGGAAGTGGCAGTGTCGGCAGAAGGGGGTAGTTGTCACGGGTGTGAAGGAGTTGTAGTTGTCCGGGACATCGACCTATCCTCTATTTGTATTGGCTGTCTTTCGCCACTCAGAATCAGATGTCATGTTGGTTATGTGCCTTCTAAGCACCAAATAGTAGGTCTCAGCAAGCTGCCACGGATAGGCGAAATGTGTGCAAGGCGCTTGCAGAGCCCATGGCGAATGGCCGATAACCTGGCCGAAAGTGTGCATTGTGTGGTTCCCAGCCATGGAGTTGGAGTGGTCGTAGAAACCTGGCACCTTCGCAGCCCAGGCTCCTTACTCTCGTTGTCCTCTTCCCAGAGGCGCCTGCAGAAACATGTTCTCGATGTTCTTGGGGATGCAAGCAGAGCCCTGATGTTGGATGAGGMAGGTAGCTGCGAGCCCGGGATCTGGGTGCACCATGTTCAGGGTGCTGCAAGGGGCATTCTTCAGCACAATCAAGGGCATTGGGACGAGTTTCTTGCTTCGCTTCAAATGGACAACTTCAGGGAGTTGGTGCCTGTGAGAAGCGACTCATGGTTGCAAAAGGAACGGCGGTCAATCGACTCATGTGACTRCTGGTGYCGTCTGGGGTGCAAACCTGATTTTGAAGTCGAAGGTTCCCATCYGCGGGAGGTTGCAGGTGAAAGAAGACTGGATTTGGTTGGAGATTGTGMCYGGGAGGATGCATCTGCAACTTCAGYGGAACCYCGAGCAGACTCAGTGCCGACTATGCTGTCGGCAGTAGAATCGCTCTTGTATATAGCATTGAAGGGGAACTTGCCGTGGAACACGATAAAAAGAACTGCAATCCGATACGTTCAATGGTTGTTATGGTCTACCCGTGAGGGGTTGCAAGACGAAGTYGAAGTCAGTTCGTGGAAATCGTTGGGTCCTCTGGTGGACAGTAGTGTCAATGGTGCTGCAACTGTGACATCTGGAAACCATAATCGATGGCTGAATAAGAATAATGTGGATTCRAGTGTGGGTGCTGGAATCGGAAACTGTACGAGACGGCCATTTAATGGGAAACCGGAGTTCACTTCACATGCGACGAGTTCTCCTCGATGCAAGGAGAAGGGATCAAATGATGTGGCGGCAAGTTTTTCAGAGATTGCCCCTGTTCCTCCTGTTCCTCCTCACACCATGGCATCGGAGTTGTGCTTGCCTTTTTCTTCSTTATGCGAGCACCACCTGTTGCCATTCTATGGTCAGGTACACGWGGCATACGTCTTCAGGTCATCCTCRTCATCATTGCTAAGACAAGGATCAGGTTGGGAGCAAGAGGAGCAGGTAGGTGTTGTGGACAGACGTTTTCTGAAACAGATTGTCAGTGCATATAGCAGACGCCTGCAAGTCCAGGAAAGACTGGGACGGCAGGTAGCACGGAGGCTTGTGTCGTTATTTGATCTCTTAGGGGTCATGGTTGTCCTGGAGGCCAACCACTTGTGCATGATGGCCCGYGGAGTGAAGCAGGTTTGCAGTAACACCTTCTSTACGGCAATGCTCGGATGCTTTTCTACCTCACCCAAGCTACGAGCTGAGTTTCTTCGAAAGCTCCCCAAGAAATCAATGTCAAGAGACCCAGTATGACAACCTCAGCTTATATTCATTGAGTACAGGGAGGGGGAAGGTGGGGAGGGGGATGAACGTGTGGGCCATGTCCTTGCACTTGTAGAGCACTGGTATGGCAACTTTAGCTCTGATTCCTTGAGAACCGGGGGGAATGAATGTGTGTGGATAGCACTGCATACCCTTGCACTTGTAGAGCACACATGCACACACTAGTGAGCGACATGT